CCGCCGCATGGGCCAATACGACGAGGAGGGCATCAAGCACTTCTACTTCATGTCTCTGACCAAGGGCGAGTTTGTAGATGCGACGAAGAAGGGTAACCTTGGTCGCTTTTGCAACCACTCCTGCAACCCGAACTGTTTCGTTGACAAATGGGTTGTTGGGGACAAGCTGCGAATGGGCATATTCGTTGAGCGCAACGTCAAGGCAGGTGAAGAACTCGTCTTCAACTACAACGTCGACCGCTACGGCGCGGATCCGCAGCCCTGCTATTGTGGAGAGCCAAACTGCAGTGGTTTTATCGGCGGAAAGACACAATCCGACAACGCGACAAACCTGAATAATGATACGATTGCGGCGCTCGGAATCGATGATGGTGTTGGTTGGGGTACGGCAGTCGCCAAGAAGCCCCGCAAGAAGAAGGCCAGCGAGGATGATGAGGAATACATCAGCGACTTGCAACCACGCGAGCTTGAAGAGGACGCAGTCAACAAGGTTCTGACAGCTCTGCGCAGCTGCGAAGAGAAATGGATTGCTGTCAAACTTCTCAGCCGCATGCAAACCGACAACGAAAGAATCGGTCATCGCATTGTCCAATTCCACGGTTACGAGTTCTTGAAGACAACCTTGAACAAATGGAAGGAAGATCATAACGTTGTTCTGCAAATACTGGATATTCTACACAGGCTGCCGCGCATTACCCGCAACAAGATCCAAGACTCTGGAATCGAAGACGCGGTGAGCAAGGTGAAGGACTGCGGAGAGGAACGAGTAGAAGAGGCTGCGAAGAAGCTATTGACCGCATGGAGTAAGCTGGAGATTGGCTACCGGATACCGCGCTTGAAGAGAGATCCAAACGCTGGCACGCCAGCTCGTACCGAGAATCATTTCGAACGACGCGAGAGAGGCCGTGAGCGATCTAGGTCTAGGTCAAAGTCGCCATCTACGATTGCACCCAAAGGCCCGTCTGCAGCAAACATCCCGTCCGGTCCTCGCGGCGTGATAAATGCGCCTCGCGGTCCGGCCGGCTTCTTTGCTCCTGCGCGACCCGTCATGCGACCAAGACCGTTCAACGCCCTTCCCCAGGGTTGGTTCCAAGCAACAGCTGAGAATGGCTCGACATATTTCTACAACTCCAATGGCATCACACAATGGCAACGGCCGACGCAGCCTGCAGATGCCCCGCCTCCTCCGCCAAACAAAGCTAGAAGTGATACCCAGCTATTACAAGACATCATATCCAGCATTACCTCGAACGGCACACCTACCGGGCCCTCCGCATCTACCACTCCGCAGCCAGTAGCCAACGAGGATATGGAATCCAGTTCCGGTCGTGAAAAGTGGCGTACCTTGCCAAGAGAAAAACAAGAGAAGGTGTATGAAGCGACAGTGAGTAATCCCAGTATATCGTGAAGCATGTCTGACCGTCACAGCTTTCACCACATGTCATGACCGTGACAAGCCATTATCGCAAGAAGCTCGAAAAGACGGAGATCAAGAGACTCAGCAAAGAGGTGGCGCAGAAGCTTGTACGAGGCGACTACAAGTCCGGTCGCGTCAAGGACCCAACAGCCAAGATCAGTTCCAACCACGAGAACACCATAAAGAAATACGTCAAAGACTTCATGGACAAGGCCGTCAAGAAGAAGGAGGAGCGACAGAGACTAAAGGCCACACAAGGTGGTTCAAAGTCCGACCTCGCCAACGAGTCACCCAGCACTCCGCGAGCACCAAGCGGAGATGCCAACGACGCCTCTCCCACCGACTCCACATCCGACCTAAAGCGAAAGAGGAACGAAGAGACGCAATCCGGCTCACCAAAGCGAACACGAACAAGTTCTGAAAACCAGGAATCAGCGCCGCCGCCGCCGCCACCACCCCCCGCAACCGCCGACGTCGAAGAGACCCTCACGCCCATGGACGAAACCTCCACCCTATCCTTCCCCGACGCAACCGAGCGAAGCACTCTCGGAAACAAGCCATCCCTCCAACTAGACGGCTACGGCAGCCCCATGCAACTCGCGACACCTCCGACTAACGGTTCTGGTGATCAGCGGTCTCGACCCGTCAACGGAGGCCAACAACAGCGGTCATAGTATACGATGAGCAAAGGTATACTTTATTCGAGTTTATGTATTACAGCTCTTTTTCTCAGATTCTTATTCTTTGTAATTCTTCGGTTCTGAAGTTCAATACGTTCGTTCGGCCAAATGGCTCGGATGGGATAGTGATAGCATCATATGGCGTTGGTGGGAAAAGATTAGTGGGAGCTGTGTGTGGTGTGGGATGGGGATTCATTGGAGAGTGGTGGATATGATGGGGTGGAGATACGTATGTATGTATTACGTTAGGGATTGGGTGAGGAACAAATATTCACATATGTTCTCTGTATTGCGTATGTCTATGTGATGAGATCGCAGTTTCTACGATTGTAATTAAGTCGGTATCTTGTCTATCGCCTGGTGGCTTTGTGGCGTACGCAAGGCAAGTTCAGCTCACGCCAGGTGACGTGCGAGGTAGCCAATACTTGACATAATCCAGACAGCTCAGCAAGCCTCATGGGCCGATTAGAATGCCGTATCCAATCAAGCTTGCACTGTCGCAAGCTCATAAGCATGTTGTAGTATCTGCCCATAATATAACAAGGCATCGGGCCCCTCTTGCTCTTGCGTGCGCCGACCGTGTTGACTTCTCAGCCTTACCAGCCTGCCAAACACCGAACACAACAAAGCATGTCTCCGCGCATTCCACTCCTTTTCTCCTTTCTTGCACTGGCCTACGCACAGTCTTGCTTCTGGCCCAACGGTGGCTCGCAGGACGACACTAGATACCGTCCTTGCTCCAATGACACCTCGAAGCCGCTCAGCCACATATGTTGCGCGGAGTGGCACGAGTGCCTTCCAAACGGTCTCTGCCTTTCTGATTCAGGCGCGTACCGGAGAGTATCATGTACACTCTCAAACTGGGAAGGCGGAGGCTGCCAGGATCTCTGTACGGGTGCAGTAAGTTAAGAATCCGCATCTTGGCTTGATGAACACGAACAGCTTACGACTATCCGCAGATAGAGCAACGCAAAGACGATGTACAAGTTACCCCATGTGATAATACCAGTACGTCAGTCTGGTGGTGCTGCGGAAGTTCAAATGCGTGCTGCAGCGATACCAGCCTCGCGAAATATCAGGTCGATAATGTATTTTTGGGCTCTATCTCGACTTCCTCTCTTCCATCCGCTGCATCATCCTCTCTTCAATCCTCGACCAACAGTCCTCTTGCGATAAGCTCTTCCAGTTCACCCAGCCCTTCGCCCACCGCATCAGCCTCGAACAATGACAACGACGCCCTATCGACAGGTGCGAAAGCTGGGATTGGTGTGGGCGCAGCTATAGGGGTCATCGCGCTGGTTACCTTGGGTGTCTTCATCGGAAGAAGGACGCATAAGAAGAAGAAGGAGGATACGAGGGTAGAAACAGGATACCGCGAGCCGGATAAGGAGGCATTACCACCAGTTTATGGACACGAAGTTCCGGCTACGCGAGAACCGGCGGAACTGGTGGGGGACCAGATACAACCACAGGAAGTGCCTGGAAATACTCGTTGATTCGTTGTGGAGTTGTTTCCTGGAAGTGAAGGCGCGTGCTACAGAATGAGTGCTTTAACAGAGTGCAGAGACGAGCTGCGGCTAAGCGCGAAGTAAAACGGAATTAAGAGTTCATCTTAAATGTGCACGTTACGATTGTCTTTACTGTATGCCTAGGCTTGTCTACTCTTGTCTCCCCAGATCTGCAGTGACTGAGTGACGACGGTGATATTCTGGAGCTAGCACTTGGCCCCTGTCCATAGCGTATCTCATGCGTGTCATAAAAACGTCATCTCTACAATCGTACCACAACGGCGATCCAGCATATGTTTTCAGATGCACATCCGCGTTGACTAACCCCAGAAAGCACACCAAGACCGGTTACGACTATTTGGCTGCGTAGTCACGAGAGCGGATCGCTCCCGAAAGCGACAATGCATGATGCGTGAACACTTGTAATGCGCGCTTTCCTCCGGCATATGCGATTACGAATATCTATAATGCTTGAGCCAAGTTCTTCGAGCCAGAAGTGTAGCGACTCCGGATAATCCTTTCTCATTCAAACAATCCAGAAGAAGACTCCAGTATGGTGAACACACAAGCAACAAAGCAAGCTCTACTCGAGCACAAGGTCATACCAGACGTCCTCCCCGACACCATCAACCCCTCCTACAACTTAATTCTAGAATGGCCAAACGCCAAACTCGACACACCAGGCAAAGAACTCGAAAATGCCGACACGAAAGAAGAACCAAAAGTTTTCATCGACCCTGCAGTAAGCAATTCGATTCATCTCGCATACTCCACCAACTAACATCGGACACCCAGCCAACCTCAACCCTAGATAATCTCGTCTTAATGATGGTCGACCCGGACCTCATGACAAACAACGACACAACCTTCGGCCAAGTCCGCCACTGGCTCATCACAAACCTGTCCAGCGAACCCTCAGGAACCCTCTCTTACGCCACCGCCGCCATACGCTCCCCCTACGTGCGCCCCGCTCCCCTTCCCAACTACATCTCCCCGCGCCCCCACCGCTACATCTTCATCCTCGCACGCAGCGCCAGTAAGATCGAAGTCCGGCCGGAGGATCTCCGTGAGATGCAGAAGGGGTATACGGCTGCGGTGCAGGGGAAACAGGGTGAGATGCAGGATTTGAAGGACCGATGGGGATTTAATGCTTGGAAGTTGTGTGAGGAGAAGGGGTTGGAGGTGTTGGCGGTGAATTTTATGAGGGTGGGGGGGACGCTGGAGAGTAGTGTTGCTAATGCGGGGATGATGGCGCAGGCGGTTGGGGATAAGGTTGTGGGCGTGTAGGTAACGTAACAGGTTGGATGTTTGGAAGACGATATTTGAAGAAGGATTCATTAAACTGATGCATTGCCCTTAAAAACCAGCCTCTCCTCCATCCCTTCTCATCCCATCTCACTTCTTCTCCTCAAAAACCTCAACAACCACCTTCTTCCCACCCCCAGCCTTCCACGTCTGCGTCATCTTCGGACGGAATCCTCCCCCCTCCCTCTCACTCTCCTCCTTCGCCCGCTCCCTCACAACCTCATCATCAGCCTTGATCCTGGCGAAGACATTGCCGCCCCAAGGGTTCGCGGGCGGTGGTGCCCGTGCACTACCGAATACAGCGCCTTTAGCGGGCTGCGCACGGTAGCTGCCACGGCTGGTTTGCCGACTACGCGGGGCGCGGAGAGGATCGACTGCTCGGGCGGTGGGGTGGGTTGTCGCCGACGTTGCGAGTTGAGAGGTGGCTTTGATGACCGTAACTGGGGGTGTAGGTGCCACGGGGGCGGGAAAGGTGTATGCTGTGTCCCAGAAGAAGTCGGGGGACAGCGGGTTGTAGCCACCAGGCTGGTTTTGAGGTTGCGAGGAAAGCTCCCCAGGAACCGATCGTGGGTGGTAAACCACCGATGATGATGATGATTGAGTGGGTGACATGTTGATGTAGTCGGTAAGTGGGTTGTTGGATTGTTGTGGAAGTGTGGAAAATGTATGTGTAGTAGGTAAGGTGGTTTGTGGGATAGAAGAGAGGAGTAGGAGCACGTATTGTAGTCTTTATATATGGTACCTACGGTGGAGGATTGTGCACGGGTTATTGAGATGACTGGGGCCATTAGACGAGCGTCGTACAATAGGAAGAAGAATTCTGCGTCTTGTGAAAGTGAAGGTGAAAGGGGCGAGCTGTTGTGATTGGATAGAATAATGATGACGACGCGCGTGGAAGAACAAAATGGAAGTCCAAGTGAAGACGAACATTGGAAGATAACAGATCAAGGAGAAGGGAAGCAACAATAGCACATGAATTGAGAAAATCGTTGATTCTGCTCAGAGAGCCACAGTCTACAGAGAAGCAAGCACCCAAAGCAAGATCCATCCACATCCAACCCATCATCACATCACCAACTCAGCCCGCACCCCCAACCCACCGTTAGCAACAACCAAAGGAAAAAGAGCAGACTTACACATCGTTGCGTCCCAAGCATCTAGTTCATCTCCCACCCCCTCACACTAACTCAAGTGCAAGAGAGCAGTCGACTATCCAGGCAGCACCACGAGGAGGCGCAAGGGTCCGACTTCTACCGCCCGTCCCCCTCTTGCGATCGCCTGGCACGCCCACCAGCGACCCATATTCTCCTTAAATGGCAAACACTCTTTGCATCCTGCCCGAAGCCCGTCCAACCAAAGTTGAGCGTTATCAGGTCCGCAATAGCAGTTTGCCCCCTCGCTACATCGCGGGTAGTCAACGTCGCAAACAAAAAAGAAGCGACGCGTATACCGCGGGACACCTCGCTTCATCGTCCCCCACCGAAGTAGGAAACAAACAGCAAGACCGGAACACTTTTCGCTTCCTCCCGGGCCGGGTCAAAAGATGAGCCGGCGCGGTCCACGCTAGCAGTCCCCCACTAGGTTGCAGCAGCTGAAGCCATAGGAGGTATGGCCAGCGCGCAAAGGGTGAAGACCTTAATGCCGGCGGCTGCGTTGCTCAAAGGTAAGGCCGGAGACATTTTCTCGCTTCCTCCCTGACCCGAACAACAAGTTGCCTACAGTTCGTCGCCGACAGCTCGCCGCTAACAAACAAGTCGTCCGCAGCAAACGTCAACAACAGGTCGTGACAAGCATTTGTCGTCTGAGTCAAGTCGCGATAGCAGTCTACCACGCGTACCCCGCAGTCAAAACTCCGCCGCACACGAGAGCAACAGGTAGATTCCACGGGGGGTGCCTCACTCCATCCCGTACAGTGATGAGGACAGAGCTCGGCGAATGGTAAAGCCCAGTCACTTCATAAAGAAGCAAGCGGCTGCGTTTACCAAAGACTTTGGGACCGTTGTAAAACCAGATATCCAAGCACCGCTGATCCGTAAAGGGGCAGTGAAAAGACAGAAGCCGGCGTAGTAACAGTCCAGGACGATTTTTTTCGATATTTTTTTGTCGATGTTTTTCGTTTTTTGTGATGGCAGACCAACAAACGTGTGTTGCAAGCACGCAGGCAAGCCCCCAAACACGTGGTGTTCGATATGCCATAAGATGCCCGGTATGGCATCAGATGGCCGAACGAAGGGGTACTAGTAGCCGAGAGGGGTTTTGTGGACCCATCAGGTCGTACGTTCCCCCACACTGTATGCCCGTAAGGGCGACTCAATAAAGATTCACGATAAAGTTTCCACGAGAGGATTTTTCCACGAATGTCCATGCCATACTGTCGAGCACTGGCAGCGGCACACGCCATGACTTACCCGCCGAAGAGGGAGAGTCCATGGGTATACAGTTGTCGTCGACAGTCCACGCATGGACGGGAACACCCAACGAACAGGCCGTCGCACACATGCGGCGACAGCCCATTCGCGAGGACAGAGGCTGTCTGTCCTCCGAAGGGAGGCGGGTGCTTGTATGCAAGTTGAGCCAGGGACCATTACGGTCTGTCAGAGAACCCCAACCATCTGCTCCAGACAAGAGCAGAGGCCGGGAGGACTCAATATCTGTTGGCATCTTCCGCACTCGGCAACCTCTAAAAAGAGTGCCACTGGCGACGGGGTTACGCGAACGTTCCCTGCAGTACAAGTCCGCGTGTCGGTATCTCGACGGCAACGTATTCGGTCGGACGGAAGGATGGACGGATGGACGTAAACGAGCGGGCTGTATCCAGACGGCGCGGTAAACTCGAACGAAGCGGACAGATCCGAAGGAAGCAGGCGTACCTGAAGGCGCGGGCGTACCCGAAAGTAAGATGTAACATCGGGGCTCAAAGGCGGGACTCGGAAGGCAGCAGCAGGGAAGATGAAGGAGGCAGCAGCAGAAGACGAGATGACGAGAAGGATGGAAGGAAGTGCTTCCACCTTCTCCTCGTCCCTTGCCCACCGCCTCCCTGATCAACCCATTTGCACAATGGCCAAGACATCGGGGGACATGCGGTAGAGGGTGCCTGTAAGCAATATTGCCATGGACCATGCGGTCTATCGGAGACTTCCGAGGAAGCCTCCATATCGCAGGCATCTTCCACGCTCGCCTCCCTGAACAGGGTGACACTGGTGGCGGGGATACGGCGAACCGTTTCCCTTGCTGAACAGGTTCTCATCGCGAAGCATTTTTTGGCGGGCAGGTGAAGGAAGCAGCAAGAAGAGGGTTGAGTGAGACCGTGTTTCCACGTTCTCCCCAACCTTGTCCCTGCCGCCTGCTCCACCCATCCTGTGAGGAAAGGATACTCTACCTGAAACCAGTAAGGCGAGCGAATCGGTAGGGGAGCCAAACTCGAGCCAACATGAACGGAGGGAGGACAAGGAGCAAACCAGTCTCAAACCCGGGAACACAAAATGAGGTAGACCAAAAGTACTCCGAAGAGTTTGACACAAAAGCGCGAAGCAAGCCATGGCTGTCCGTGAAGGGAGAGCTTAGGTGCAATCGCAGTAGTACACCCTCCCGTCATGCCGGTCTGGAAAGTGGGTAGATGCAAGGACGCAGAAGAAGAGGGAGCCAGGAAAAGGAGGAGAGAGGGTGTTTCCACCTCCTCCCCATCTCCTCCCGGCCCCCTCCCCTCCACATCCCCCACCCACCCATATCCCAGACAGCTTACGGTTGAGGGCGACGGCCATGACATGCGCACATGTTTAGGCCTGAAGAGAGGAAGTGACTGTAGCCAAAAGAACGCCATGGACCGTAAGGTCTGTCGGAGACTTCCAAGGAAGTATCGATATCGCAGGCTTCTTCCACACTCGTACATCTGAAAAGATGACACTGGCGGCGGGGAATACTCCCTTTGACTAACAGACTCCTCTGTCCGTGTGACACCAAAGGTGATAGTAATCGCGGTCGACTGCAGTCGCCGTAAACATGCCGGAGCAGAAGCTGCGCGCCTCAGCTCATCAGGAGCTTACCAACCGGTATCTCGACAGTCTCTGTAAGGTTACTCATGCCCTGCCAGCAACAAGGAGGACCTGTCATCGGTTGTCCTCGTCGACAACGCGCACAAGAAACAGTAAGAGAAGCCTTGACTTCCTACATATGCTTGGACTGCCGTGAGGAGGACGCATGCGCTCGCGTCAATGAACCACGGACGGTTGACGTCTGTTGTAGCGCTAAAGCCACTCTCTGTTGGTATCTTCCACGCGCGACAACCTGAGAAGGCGACACCGGTGGCGGGGAGTACTCCCTGGCGTGAGGTTGTGCGTCCCCCTCATGGCTGTCTGTCCGCTACACCAATGGTGTTTGCAAGACTCGTAGGACTCGGAGGAGGGAGTGGAGAAGGAGGGACTCATCGCGCGGCATCGATCGTGGTGTCGGCTGGCAACTGCGGTCGATGGTGCGGCGATGTGGTCGGGATGGCATGAGATGGCGTAATAAAAAGGTGGAAGCAAGCGCCGCTCGACGAAAAAAAGTGATGCATGGAGGAAAAGAAGTGTGAGAATCCCTCAGACGGTGAAGTGAGGGTAACAAAGCCAGGAAACTGTTGCTGGAAGGAAGGTGTGTCACGTATCGAGGTGTGTATGTGTGCCTGTGGTGGTTGCCTGGCACGACGCTAGACACCAGTAAATAGCACCACGTATCAGTCATAAAAGGAGAAAATGGGGAATACCAAGCTACTCTGTGTAGAGAATGTGCGGAAAGCCAACCATGGTACCGATGCCACATCCGGCGTAGGACGACCCGTTTCAGGGCCAGACGAACAGTGTTGCTAGAACTGAGCTGTGAGCATGGCCAGTCTCCGTAGTACTTCTCGTATCACCGTGAAGCTCGGAGGCCATGTAGTCGCAAAGCCAGGCGTGTTCGTCCTTGGAAGCCGTTGGCCGGATGGTGGTGGAGTACATCATGACTGTCTTGGCCTATAGTCTCGTTTCGAATTTACCTAGGTGGACGGACGGTTGAACCGGACAAGCTCATTCGACGAATTCCAGGAAATCCGGTGTAGCACAAGTCCGGTCGGTGGTCCGCTCGTCGAAAACTAATCGCTATCTCCTAGAAGTTCAGCGAGCTCCGCTTCTTCTTCCGCCGTCATCATGCCCTCTTTGCGCTCGGGTTCCTTGTCTTCTTCCTTACCGAGACGCTCGTCTTCGGCCTCTTGGATGGCCTTGGCAAGCTCTTGAGGCTTGAGGCTCCACTGTCTGACTGTAGCGTCAATGCTCACGCTGATCACGCGTTGGCCTAGCAGAAGAAGGCCAGTAACCTCTTCAAAATGCCCACTGAAAGTGTGATGCAGCTTGCCGCTGCTCTTGTCCCACACGCGAACCTCTTCGTCTCTGCATACGGAGACCAGCCAGCCGCCGTCCTCGTCGATGGCAACATCGCGGACGAAATCAGGGTGCTCGAACGTCGAATCTTCTTCCCACTCACGGCCTCTGGAGAGACACTTGGCCGTCTTGTCTGCTGAAGCTGTCCATAGATCGCCGTCTGAATCGAAGTGTAGGGCGTCGATGCTTGTCTCGTGAGCGATGATGGGCGACGGTTCA